GTATAATAGCGCTATTTAAAGAATTTTTTAAACATAATTAAATACTAATTAAATAGTCTTCCAATTTTTACTATAATTATAATTTAAATAGTACTTATAATTAATATAATTGTCTCTTCTTTATCCCTTATCCTATTATTCTAATATTATTAATAATTCGTTTCCTTTTTAAAAGTACTTTGTAATTTCCTTATATTACTCCTCCTTTAATTTAATTACTAAATAGTACTCCTTCAATTTATTTAACTTTAACGTTTATAATAGGATCTTTTTAATTTTAATTCTATTATTTAAATATTTCTAAAGCTCTTCCTTTATTAATAACTAATTATTAAAATTTAATTAAAAGAGAATTTCTATACTAAAGTAATTTAAAATAATATAGCCGAAGGTCTCCTTTTCGAACCTATAGGTATAGATAAATATTTAAATGTCCAGTACTTTCCTTTAAAAAAGGAAAGCGTAGAGCCTAATAACCTCCGTCCTAATTTAAATTAAGAAGGAACTCTTTACTTTAGTTAATAGGTATAATTCGTCCTTATTTTCCTCCGGCGTTCGGCATCTTCTTCTTTCCTTCCTTATATTAATTATATATTATTAAATTATTTTACTATTAAATTTAAGGTTAAAATTAATAATAGTAAATTTATATTATCGACTTAATTTAATTATTGCCGCTATTAGGTAATAATTGTAATATAATACTTATTTTCAATTTATTATATCTTCTAACTATTCTTCTTAATTAATAATTATTAATTTTAAAATTTATAACGGTAATAGCAAGGTCCCTAATTCTAAAGGGGGATTAACTATAATTATTAGCAATTTCTCTATCAGTACCTATACTTCGGCCTACCGAACTTTAATTACACTACTCTCCAATTTATTAATAAATAACCAACCTCTAGCCCTTTGTATTTAAATATAATTAATAATCTAAATTATAGTCCCTTAAACGAACTTTATTTAATTTATTTAAATAAACCTTTCTTTAAAAATTCGGACCTTTTTATTAAAATAGAAGTCGAACGGCGGATAAAAAGTTTCCGTCTCTAAATTCTATATTAGCGTAATTTTATATACCCTAACAATAATTTTTAAATATTTAATCTAATACTTCGTTAATCTAACTATAATCCTTTATAATTTCCTATAAATTTTAGTCAGTTAATAGAATACTAAAATTCTATATATAATAGTACTATAAATATATTTAATATATATTTCCTTTACCCAAACGAAGGAATAACCCTATATTTTTATAATTAACTTTATAAATATATTCGTTTAAATCTTTATTTTCTATTTTACTACTTCTATATAAGCCTGGTAATTAAATTTATAGTCCAACTAAACCCTTAAAAATCTTATAAATTCCGTTAATTAAAATACTATATCCCTAAATTAAATAGTTTCTATCCTTAATACCTTTATTTATATAAAATATGTTAGTTCCGTTTTACTTACTTCGAACTTTATACTTCTCACTCCTATTTATTCCAAATATATTTCTTATACCGCCTATAAAGTCCGGCAATTCTCTTCAGTAATATATACTATTATAATAATATTAGTATTATTTATAAAGCTAATAGTAATTATATTTAAAGTTATTACTAATTTCCAATATAATAGAATAATAAAGAGAATAAATAAAATAAGGGAGAGGGGGGAACCTTAGGGTATACCTATAGTAATAGTATAAGGGTAAAATATTTTATTATTGAAGAAGAAGGAACCTCTTCAATTAATAACGAAGCTTACTACTTATTTAATAATTTATATTAAAAGCTATATTTCTTATAAAATATATAGAAGTTACCTATAATTAACTCTATTAAACGCTCCTTTTAAATCGAAGAATATAAGAGACGTTACAACCCTAAATTTTTAAATTGTATATATTATATTAATAATTACTTAAATTATAAACTTTATTAAATAACTTACCTAATTACTAATTTAACCCTCCAATAAGAAGTTAAATTCTTCGGCTACTTATATAAACTTTTTAATTATAAATACTTTAAAGATCTTCCCTATATTATTAAATAGCAATATAAGCTTCTATACATCCATTAGCTTTTACTATATAGTCCTCTTCCTAAACTTCTTAAGAATAACTACTTTCGTATCCTTAAACCGCTATAAGAAATGCCCGAATTAGAGGCTAATAAATATTAAATATACTATAGCCTACTAAAACGGTTATTTATATAATTTTAGAAATTTATTTGAATATTAATTAACGCTTAGGGCTTTATTAAACACTATTTAGGAAAATACGTTTTAAACGTCCTTTTTAATAATTAATTTACTAATAACTATCGGGTTAATACTATTTAATAATTCAATTTAGTCTAATAAATAATCTATTAAAATATTTACCTTTAGGAAAAAGTAGTCGGCAAAAATCTCGGCCTTACTATTATAATCTCCAATTTCTATTACTCCTTTATAGATTTAAAGGGTTAATAATTAAACGGATTTATTAATTAGTAATTTCAAATCCGGGCCTATTATTTTAATAATTAAAATTAATTTAAGTTCTTTAAAAATTTTATAATACCTTTATACTATATAGTCCGCTATATTTTCAAAATTATCCTCTTCTTTTTTATTATTACTTTAATAAAATTCTTTTAATTTAATATTATCCAATATCCAAACTATATCTAATATATCCGCCGTACTTCTTTTATAATTATTTTATAATTTAATATTTATTAATTTACTCTCTTCCTCCAACTTTTCTTCTAATATAGAATGAATTCTTCTATAATATTTATAAATTCTCCGTCGAACCTACGAAAGGCTAATTCGAAGTCTTCTATTATATTAATTCTCTTTAAAATTAAAATTCGTTTCTCTACCGCCTCCTTTACTCTTATTATATTTATAAAACTCTAATTATATTTTCCTTCCTCTTCCGCTTTCCTACTCCTTCTTTCTATTTAAATTTAAATTTTCTAAAGGTAATAGTCCGAACTAATTTACTCGTACTACTATACTTTTTAATATTCAATTTTAACTTTAAATAATAATTATATATAATTAATTATTCTATTTCTCTTACTTTATATTATATTCCCGAATTTTATTAATTTTCTACGGAGGGTAAATAGATTAAATCTCTAACGTTATACCTACGTAAGGAAGTAAATAGCCCTTAAGCTAATCCTATTCTTTAAATTCTAATTAGGATAATAGAAATTAAAATCCCTAATTATAATTTAATTTCCCGCTGAAGGTCCGACTTCGAAGAATTTAAAGAGCGGTAACCCTTATTAGTATTTTAATATTCCTTATATTAAAATAGGAGAGTAAATAGAATAGACGGTTGTTAAATCCTTTAAATTTTTAAATATTATTATAGTCCAATCCTTATTGGTTTAGAAATTAAAGTCCTTTAAATTCTATTTCTTATTTATATATATTATTGCTCTCCTTTTCTTTAAATAATTAACCTTAAAATACCTTCCGCCCCTAGGATAATAAATATCCCTATTTAAATTCTTACCCGGCTCTTAAATTACTATAATATTATAAGTCTCCTCTTATTTAAATAAAAGTTTCCCTTTTTTATACAATTTCCCTACGTTCTAATAAAATACTTTTAATTAAATTATTAATTATTCTAAAATAGGGTTCTTTTTAATCCTATAGCGGAGGATAAAAATATTACTTCCTTAAGGGAGGCTATAGTTATATAAATACTATTACTATTATATAATTAATTCCCCTCTATATTCTACGAACGTAGGTAATATATATTTATTAGACCTTATAAGGTTAAAGGTTTTAATTAGAAGGTTTAATTAATAACCTTTTTTAACTATCCTCTTTTTATACTTCTTCTAATTTATTTCTCTAGGGTAGTAATAGTATAGGAATTAGGAAGAGTATTTAATAGAATACCCTTATTTATAACCTCTATTATTAATTTTAATACTTTTTTAATTAGGTTTTTATAAGGGGCGAACGTCCGCAGCCTTTCGACGTACGTAACGGACGCCTTCGTAATAACCTTCCAGAAAATAGAATACTCTTTATAATTATATACGAAATAACCCTTCTTCTTATATAATTTATAATAAATAAGTAACTTATTTTCATTAGAGGGATAATTTACTTCGTTAAAATAATTTCCTTTATATTTAACTTCGTTATAACGGGCGTAAATATCTTCCTAATAATAGAATTTTATTATATATTTAATTCTCTAATATTTATAATATTATTAAATATTATTCGAAATTTAAAATAGTTCGTATAAATATACACCGCCGTCCTAGAAGAAGAGGTTATTCTAGAGGAAGTATACTACTAATAAAATAGTAATTTCTATTAAAAGTAAATTTTTATTCTCTTTATTTCTTCTCTTCTATAACCGAATTTTAATAATAGTTACCTCTTTATTTCTTTCCCTTACTATATTTAATAAAGTCTTTAATATAATATAATTATTAATACTATTCTAAGGTACGCCCCGGACTAAAATACCTATAGTATTTATAGTAATAAAAGTATCCGAACTAAAGACTTCCTTAACCTATATTTGATTTTACTAATATTAGTTATATATAGACTTATTAAATATAATTATATAATCTCCTATTATTAGTATTCTAATAACTATACGGATTATTAAACTAAATTTCTTTTTACTTAAATTCGCTACTAGGGCTGTCTTTATATCTTTATTCGAATAATTTATAAATTCGGCGGTAATTATCGCCCTTTTAATTATAAATTACTATTCGAAATTAAAAGGAATAAACTTCTTAATAATAATAGTAAATAATTATTAGAGGGTAGTACTAATCTTATTCGGGATAATTTTTGCTATAATATTAACCTATTTTTTTAACGCTTCTTAAATACCTTTTTTAATCTTTTTTAAAATATCCTTCTTTAGATTATTAAAATCCTTTTTAGTAATAAATTAGTCGGTTCTAGCCCTATTAACCTCGGATTACACGGACCTACTTTTTCCGATGTATACCTTTGCGAATTCGAGAAGTAACTCTCGAACTTAGCGTTAGTCTTCGGTTAAAATAATATTATAGTCCGCAAACTTATTCGCTCTAACGATAAATTTCTTCAATATTTTATTGTTTTTTTCTGTTTTATCCGAGGTTTTCGTAGTAAATATAGTTTCAGGGTCGTTATATATTGAAATTTCTACGAGTAGGTTATAAACGTTATTTTCGAATTTACGAGTACTGCTATTAATAGCTATTAGTAATAATAATATAATACTATCGCTATATTCGTTGTAGGATATCGTAAGGGACATAGACGACCCTTCTAAGTCGATTGCTATTATTAATTTTCGTTTTAGAGCACTCCTCGACCAGAAATTAGCGTTTCCGGTTTCGGCGTCGTTTTTTTAATAAATAATAGTAAAGGTAAATACAAGTTTTTATATAGACTTTAATTATATATTATAATACTAATAATAGAATTTATTAGCTAGAAAAGAAAGAATTAAATAAAAAAATACTATTTTAGGGAATTATAAGTCCGAATACTATAATAGAAATCAATTATATAAGTTTAACAATAGGTATACTAATTTTATATAATAATATAGTAATTAGTAATCCATTTTCAAATTATTATAAATTATTTTAATTTATAAAAGATTTTAATTCTAATAATATCAATTTGTTTTACTTTATATTATATATATTATATATATATCTTTTATTAATTAATTAATTTATATTAATATAAGTTAATACCCACCCTTAATACTATAATTAGGTATTATATTAATATATTCTTTAATTAGAAATATTATAATATAAATATTTTAAAATTTCAAAAATTCGTTAAAAATTACCAAGTATATAAATATTAGTACTATTTGTATCCTAGAAGTAGGTATACTCTATAAGTATAATAAAAACTTATTTTTATAGAGATGTATATATATAGAAATTATGTAGAATTTTTATTAAAAACCCCTACTTTTTACCTCTTTATAAGAAATGTAATTAAGCTCCCAAAACTAGTTGTTTTTAGAAAAGAAAATTATAAGGGAGGTAAAATACTACGTATTAACCTATTCCTAAGTTTTTATAAGTTTTGGCTAAGTGGTGGTTGTGTAATTAATTCTTAAATTAAATACCTATTAGAAGTGGGTTATTTTGGCTGTCCGTTTGGGTTTTGTCGTGTCCGGCGGTTTTGTCGCCAACTCTGTAGAGCAGAGTTGGAGACCCGACAGAACCTGGACCCCTCTCCAACAAGTACCATACCTGTTTGAAAAGGGTTCAGTCAGAATGCCATAACGAGTACCTGCGATACGTTAGGCTGATTCGATGCTGCATATAATGATCCTGAACTAACATGAGAAAAGGCAGTCATATCCGCGCCGCAACCCCCTTCCCCGACCTGCCGTATCGAGAAACCAGGACCGACAGAGTTATCAACTATGAGAATGAGCTGCTACTGATGGCTCCTTTGTGAGAGATATGAACCATTTTGTCGTAAGAGGAAGAATGGGGATTAAGAAAGGTTAGGTCAGCGCCTTTCCCGCGGCGGACACATCCGTAAGTAGTCTTCGATAGGGCGAAGCAATTGGCTTTTGAAGAGCAGCCGTTCGATAACTGAGCATTTGAATATTCGAGAAGGCGGACGACGGGAGCGGGTAAAGCCTCTCGCGTTCCTCTTGAGGCTCACGGGTCAACACCGACTGGCACAGGTGCAGAGGGTGGGGTGTCACAGTCTTTTGCTTCCATTACATGGATTGGCTGGCCTCGTCTAGCCTCTTGATTCTTGTCTGACGGCCACTTGACAACATTCGAGGCTTAACTCGCAACGCTATCTCTGTACCGGATGACGTTGACCATGCTCAAGATTGGTCATGGCAGGCGGTGCTCTCCATCAAATCTCAAAACCGCAGGTGGAGGTTAAAAATGATCCGGTTCGCGACGCGTAGAGGTAGGCTTCCCTAGATTGGGGGCGGATGCATGTTCCCGGGCTTGCGAATTCACTTCCAGGATCCGAGAGCAGACTGTGCAGCACACGCGCAGTTCTGGGGGAGGGCAGGGCAGCTAGGTGACAGGGCGCATGGCAGATTGTGGACAGAGGCAAAAGAAAGGGTCGAGTCAACACTACGAGAACGCGAAGGACTTATCCAGGCGTAGGCAAACGTAGGGTCGAGATGCTGTTCCTTCTATTTTATCCACCTCACTGCCGCGACGGATTGGCTTTGTTCAGAACATCCAGGAACCAACCTCAAGTAGATTGAAGCGAATTCAGCACAGGCCAGAGCCGTCCCTTGCACTTTTCGCGTGGGCAGGCCCGGCTCGCCTTAGCGTCGACCCACCCAATTAAGCCCCGAGAACGGTGGTGGAACCCTTCCAGGGCAGGGCAGTGCTGCTTGTTACATCTACCCCAATGCAGCCTCTCCTATCAATCAAGTAGGTTACCTCTATCCAATCAGCTTCCTCCCCCAACCGTCCCCCGTGGTCGTTCCCAACTGAATGCTCCTCCATCTGCCCTTTCCAATCTTTTTGCCCAGCAGCCTGGAATGGAAGCTGCAACCGCCAGGCGCCCAGTGTCATGCTCCTGCCCAGCTTCCCTCTGTCCTGGTGCCCCCGTGTGCCTGTGCTACCGACGCTATCCCACTCCCGGCTGTAATCTTGGCGCTTGTACCTTCTGTGTAGACATCTCATTTCTCGAAACCTGGAACAGGAGGGCATGAAGCCCGATCTCCTCCAAGACTTCCCACTTCGTCCAGACTCAGTGGCAATGTCCTTTCCCCGTCTGGGAATTGCCAATTGACCCAGCTCGACCAAGACAACCTAACTTCGACGACGACAACGACGGCGTCAACAAGATACTGACTGTAATTACAGGCAGCAGCAACAACAGCAACAAGGCCGCCGATGAGAGTGGACAGAGACTGCCCGTTGAGAGACGCCCATCCAATAAGAAACGATATCTCCTGAGGATTTGGCCCGTCATCTGCGGCGATCCTGTGGTGCCTCATTTCCACGCTTTTACACGACACAAAGCCGCGACCACAATAACATCTAATCAATACGATCGCAACCCCGCCGTCTTCTCACGCACTCTCTCTTTTACCTCCAGGCCTGGTCCTAGGCTCGTACACTCTTTATTTTTTTCTAAAAGTTCTACCAGCAAGACGCATGTTCCTAGTAAGCGTATCTGACTTGCGACTACTTTCGGGGCTTCTCTCCTTTCAACCCCACCCTCCAATTCTGGTTACACCATCTGTCCGTCCAGAAAGCCTCCATTGGCAACGCAAAAGGCGCCAATTCACCACCATCCTCCTGGCCACGTCCTGAGGACGCTGGAAATTCTTCGTCGACGACCCGGCTCTTGACCTTCGCCTATTCCGACTCATTGCCTGCCTGAAGTGCAACAATCTTTACCATGTTGCGGCCCGCGACGCCCCTCGCGGTGCTGCTTTTTGCAGCATTCGGGCTTCTCACGCTGGCCACCATATCCACGCCAATCATCAAGCAAATCCCCTTGAGCAGCTTCGAGATCAAAGATGTGGGCGATTTGAGCTTTGGCGTTTTTGGTTACTGCACCTCAAGCGGCTGTAGTCCTATAGAAATTGGCTACGATACCTGTGAGTTGTTGCGCGTGTAGTGTCTCGCTCCATGTCACACTTCAATGTCTTGTGTCAAGTGCTGATTCTTACAGCCGCCTTCTCTGACAAAATCAACTCGGACTTCGACATCCCCAGAGCAACCCGTTCTACACTTTCAAGTATCCTGATTGTGCATCCAGTCGCTGCCTTGATCACCCTGATTAACTTCGTCCTTGCTATTGTGGCCCATTTTCACTCACCATCCCATTCAGCGCGGTACCTCCTGATCCTATTCATTGTCAGCTTTGTTGACTTTATTGTCTGCCTGTTGTGCTTCCTCGTGGATGTGTTACTCTTCATTCCACACTTATCATGGGGCTCTTATATTGTCGTTGCCGCCACCATCTTGGTAGCGTTTTGCGGCCTCGTAACCTGCGCCATGCGCCGAACACTTGTTAACAGGAAGGCGAACAGGAAGCGCATTGCAGAAAATGCTGAGATGAGTGGAGAGAACTACTACAACCGTCAGGCACAAACTGCCCCTGTCACGCAGGTTACCGGCCCTCAACCAACCGTACCCATGATCAGCGGCGCGAACGGCGGAGGAGACAAGCTGCCCGAATTCACTACTTTCGAGAAGAAGGACGACCGTAGCGAGGAAAGAATCCCACTTACGTCGGTTAGCCCCATCGATCGGTCACCAGCGACACTAGTCAACGATAGCACGCCACCCAACTTTATGGATGGTGCGCCCTCTCGATCACCATCTACCACACCTGTTGGCCGAGACCAGTACGGGAACCCACTACCACCTCAAGATGGATATGCCATGAGGGGTGGCCCTCAAAATGAGCGTTTGAATTCACGGGGTAGGGGTGGTATGCCGCCCGGAGGCTACCGTGGACGTGGTGGCTTTCCCGGACCTGGAAGAGGTGGTGGACCTCCCCAAAATGGACGAGGAGGCTATGGCCCACCAGGACGAGGAAGAGGAGGCTATGGTCCGCCGCCCCGCGGATACGGAGGTCCAGGACCAAGAGGTGGCCGAGGCCCGCCGCCTCAAGGATACCAAGGCGGGCCGGACCGAAGGCCATCGCCAGGTGCTCCCTATGGACCTGGCCCTGGTGTGGGCACCTATGGTCCCAGTCAACCAGCGCCGTACGCTAATAGGCAACAGTCCCCCGGCCCTCAATTTGCTGCGCCGGGATATGGGAACCCTGAACAACCAGGACCTCAGTATTCGGCATACAACCCGAGACGTGTCTCGCTCCCAAGAGCCGAGTCTCCTCCTCCGCTCCCCGGCATCGATGACGGCATGCCCGGACCTGCCGTAGAGCTGGATGCTTCTCCCGCAAATCCGGGCGTTGGGCAGTACGGAATCAGGGACAGTGATTCAGATGTCGCCGGCATGTTGGCTATGCAGCAAGCCAGGGTTCCAGACCCGGATCGCGGCAATGACGCGAATGGTCATAGCCAAGACGGGTAAGTGATGCTTCCAAACATAGCCAAGAGTGATGATCATTGCTGACGGATCAGGCCCAACGACGTTTACGTACCGCCCAGACAAGCATGGAACCAAGGACTTGGGGGAAGCACCCCGGGACTAGCGCCACCAACAGCCCGTGGTCCAACACGTCCGATTTCTGAAGCCGTCACAGCTACAGTGGCCAGTGATTATTACGAAGACGTCGATCCGCGCTTTGCTGAGCCTTCAGCCGCCGCAGACAAAAGGCCACCGCCCATCTCCATGCAGCCACCCCCAGCATCCAACTCATATGACGACATTCCCAACCGAGCTAGGAGCCCGGCTGAGTCCGAAAACTCTAACTTCACCTCGATATCCCAGCGAGGCATCAACCCGCGTTGGAACTCCGCCAACACACCGATGCCTCCCCCCGTAGCGGGAGTCTATGCAGGAGGAGGAGGAGGAGGAAATGTGGTACCTCGGCGGCCGGTTAATCGCCCCGGCGCTGGTCCTGCTGATGGCTCAGATCTGTTTCTCAACTCTAACCCAGACTTCCAACTACCCGGGCGCGGTGGCAACATGCCTAGAGCGGCCGGCCCCCGGTAATGAATTAATAAGCTGACAGGAGTTATAAAGAAGGGTTATGATTGGCGAAGGGCAGAGTAACTTGCTTTGATCGAGTGGACCGGGCACATGTTTCTGGATGGATATGTTTTTCGAAAGCTTTTGACATTTGCCAACGGCTTGTGATTGATGGAATGAGAGAACATATATATAGTATGATCGGTCAGGTAGTTAGCACAAAGCAGGGCAGGCCTGGAAGGCAGGATGAAGAGAAAGAAGATTGAGGGGAATTTGTAGCGCTTGTCATTCCTCCCTGTATTGGGTCTGGTTCTTAATATTTTTTCTGGTGGTGGTTTTCGTTCTTTTTTTTTTCTCTCTCTTTTTCTTCTTTTTCCCTTTCTTTCTTCTTCAAACGAAACAGACAGGGAAGCGAAACAGAGCGTGTAACTTGATGACACCTGATATATACGACACTACTACCCATCCATACCTGTGTCACATACAAATGGACGAGGTATATCTTCTTTTTCACCTCTTTAATTCTGTCTCTTCTTTTCGTGATGGAGGACACCCTCTTTTTCATTTCAGCTTTCGTGACAAGAAAAGTTGAATTGATGCTAGTAAACACGGAAATTTTACGCCACACCCGAGAAGACAAGATGCTCGTGCTGTCAAGGGGGAAATAAATGTGGAAGGAGCTGAAGGATAGATGGAGGGCGATGCATCCCCTGAGTGGTGTGCAAATTCAAATAGTTCAATTGAACACTTGAGATTGACCTTTTTTTTCTTTTGTATAAATGTTTTTGGTGAATATTTATTGATACATATCATTGTGTCTTTTTGATACAAAGTTGCATCTTGTTCATCCTTTTCACGTTTTGGCTTCCCATAACTCATGCATGACTTCCCCTCTTCCCCGTATACCGCATGATGCTCGAACGACACGTTAAAGGATGTTGCGATATCGACGACAAGACTGGTGGCTTTTGTCGCTGACACTGGACAATAAATGAGTGCTAGGAAACTTTTGAACTGCATAAAGCTATGAGCATCAAAGGGAACAGCGGCAGCGATTGAGAGGATCAGTTTCTATCGAAACTATTATAAGACTAATAATAACGATGAAGTGTCAACAACCATGATGGTGCGAATCATCATGAGTCAATAGAGTGACTGTTTGATGACACAAAGGAAGTTGACGCCTGGTCATGGCAGACGATATATAGACGTGATATCTTCAAAGTCTCCAATCTCTGAAATTCAACCCGAATAACCATGCTCAGCAAAGGGGATTAGGAAGATAGGAAATACAACAGTTATACCTGAACGCCATAGACGCAGTTTATTTTTCGTTCCCCTCCCCTCAATTTGACTTATGACCGGCTCGCATGGTCGCTATCCATATATGGTGAGAACTAGCTGGATGTATAGCAATCATCCAAACAACCCATTTCTGACGATTAATAAAATGAAACAATGTAGCGCGAACTTGCGATGCAAAAGGGATAGGTAACTAGCTACAGGGTCAATATCCCAGCTGGCGGCATCAGTATCCGCGTCTAGTGACCCGTCTGGCCATCTTCTTCTTCACCGGCTCTGGCTTCGTGGTGAAGAAACTCTTGTTGCCATCCTCAGATGTATCAATCCATGCTGGATCAGCTTTGCTCCAATCAGACGGAAAGGGATTCTGTGGATCATTGAGCTTCGAACCCTGCTTGCAAGCAAGCAGCGTAGCCAGCGCCATAGTCACCAAAGGGTCGCCACACTCCTTCTCATCGTTACTGTTGGGCTCTCTGCGCTCACCTCCAATGACCCCGAGTTTGCTCTCCGAAGTTCTAGCAGAGGAGATGGACAGTAGCTCATTAGCCTTATTCTCGAGTAGCCTCACGCCCGAGTAGAATATTCGGTCTACTCTCTCTCTTCTCCATGCTTCTTCTTCCGGTGATTGGTTCCAGGCCAGAGCTCTAGATTGAAGAGGATAACGCTCGTGCTGATGATCATCTAAGGTGGGAAGTTGCCCAGAGTAGCTGCTGGGCAAGTCGTCCCTGAAGTAATGCATGGCTTTGTCAAGGGGCAGAGTGTCCAGATTTGGGACCTTGTTTGGTGAATAGCCATTGTTGCCGAAACGCTGCTGAGATATATCTTCTGTATCTTCAAGGAAAGAAGTCCGAGCCACCTTAAGACGGTCATCAACTGGAGTTGCTCCTGAAACTAAAACTGAATGCAGTCGATCGCCTGGTCCATGAAGTTCTTTGTTCCTGCTCGAAAGTGACTGAAGCGCAGAATTACCGCGGACACTGGAGT